CAGTAAATCAAGAAGTGATAAAGTGCATCGGCTTTCTATACATCAAGGTGTAGAAGGAGCGGTTGAGCGGGGGGGGGTTAGTAAGGCAATCCAGAAATGGCAGGATGCCATCATTTATCGCCACAATTTTAAACTGCATCTCCATCTGAACCATATTTAAGAAATAATACCATATCTAAGAAATTGTCAACTTTAGTCTTGATACTGATAGTGAATGTATTTATCCACATATATCCAAAGAATACATAATCGCACTGATATCATCGCTAAAACATTAGACTTTAACTGTTCTATATACAACCTGAACAGCAGTATATTCAGACAAGCCCAGTATATTATGACGCTGTGGCTGCAGTAAAGGCGCCCTAAGCATCTAGAATCAAAGGGACGGTGCGATAACATCAAATAAGTGCGGTAGAAGGACAAAAATTTACTGTTTAAATTACTGTAGTAGAATATAAAACTCGCCTGGATAACATTTCAGCAGCCGCGTGACGATATAGGAATTATGCATAATAGCTACGAAAAAAAATACGTAATAATAAGCAAACAACAAAAATTGAAAACAGAGGGAAAGGACTAATGCGCGGGAAATGCCGAATCAGTGATATCTAAATAAAACAATTTGCTCATGAATGGTATAAACAGTAATTCTATCAGTATCCATTCTAGCAAAATCATCATTTGACATTCCTCATACACCGATAGGATCACGGATACGGATTTATTGTTTGCTTCAGTTCGTACACAGACTCAAACATATCTGGATCTCGAGCTCTTGAAGTGAATTTTAAAACTGCATGATAGAGGAGGTTGAGAAAATAAATTACAACAGAAGAACCCATAGGTTTTAAAAAAAATCCGTATGTATTCTACAACGTACAATGCTCTCTCCTCGTTCAGGGAAATGACGACCAAATACCCATACAAAGTCAACAACGTGGATTTATGACTTATCTGGAAAGAAGCATCAAAAGAGCACTCCTAAAGCAAATCCACATAGTTTTTTGCATATTCTGAGACTAATGAACGTGTCAAGTAATTGAGGAAACAAACAAATGACATTGCACAACATTAAACTGTGAAAAACAGATTCAAATATCAACCATGTTCCTAAAAATTATTTATATACGTAACATATTTTTACTAATCTGCAAGAAAGATCAAGCAAGAAGCATATTACTGGCAGTGTCACTAAAGAATATAAGGATACATAATTTAGCCGGTTGTCACTTCCCAATGACCTTCATATTCTGAGCATAAAGGAGTGTTGTAGCTTAACAATATCAAACAGACTAAAGTACAGGAAAGACATGTTAGTAGATAACCACCACAGCAACATCCGGACTTATGGAGCATGAAAACAACACACCTTAGGAATTTCCACTGCCAGATCGACATAAATCGTTGGCTTGCAGGCGACGTTCAGTCGGTAACTTCCGATGGTCTCGCAATTCGTTGGCGCATGAAACTTGACGAACAAGTAATCAGAAGATTTACTTGTCGGAAACGGAAACGAGGAGAGAGGGTACTTCAAGCCGAGTTCTTCAATCCAGCCTGTGTCCGACAACAAATGACGCTCCCCGGTTGGCAGGCGCTTAAAGTGTGTCGTCAACTGCCGAATAACATTGTCGATCTCTTGCCGTCTCTTTGGTTTCACTCTTATTTCGTTCAGAAGCTCTTCGGTCTAAAAACCAAAAGAACATCAGTACATCAATCAATTATTCGAACCCAGAACCGTGAAATACTTGCAACTTAAATATGTTCGAATGAAAGAGGTATTCGTTTTCTTGTAATTGTTTAGCATTATTGACGTCTGCTTTCTCCTTGAAAGAAATTTTCCGACGCTTTGACACATGCATTTGAACACAGCAATTGATTTGTAAAACACTGCCTACCGTGCTGACGGTATGTTAGATGATTACTAGGCTCGCCTGAAACCACGACTTCGAATTACTTTTCAGCATTGTTGAAACCAGATATTGGTCATATGCAGAAGTTTTCTAGACCAAAAATGGATGCGGTTGCATATTTAGATGATGACACTCAGCTGTAGAGCGACATAAATAATGCCAGTTGTAATAAGACTTAGATTTGTTAATCATTAATATTTACTGAAGTCGTATTACAGTACATCAAAATGCCTGGAAACTCGATTTTATATAACCTGTACTATAATGGTGAACACGCAAGCATTTCACTACCCCAGCAACTGGTACTCTCGACTATCACCACCAACGAAGCATGAAACTAACCTACAAAAGTGTCGCAAAATTCAGGACTTGCGAAATATATCCCTTCATAAAGAACTCCTACACTGTAATAAGTTCAATTTTCAATATGAAAGGAAAATTTATAACCGTGTGAACATCGGTCCTGCATTATCTTTTAGATTGGGTTATTTGTGTTCTTTTCTTTCATGCTGATGATGCGATGCTGATCCCAGCTTGTGTCATCACCAAAGAATCTTATTTAAAAGATGGAGTCCATAATCATGATGAAAATGTTGCATGAAATCTCCTGTTTTCTTTCCACAACGTAGTATTCATTTATTATCCTCGAAACAAAAAAGGGCGACAGATTCCGACAATTGCTTGAACGTTGGGTTTTTCAGTTCTGATTTCGATGCTCTGTCAATTGGGCAAGCCAAAGCTGAATCAGTGTGTATTTATTTCCTTGTTCAAGAAAATTTGTAAATAAGAGAAGATTGCTATCGAGAAGAATTGATTTGCCATTTTCAGAGTTAAAAGCAGACCTGTTAGACATTAGTCCATCAGGAATTTTTAAAAATGGAGACAGCATTCTTCGTTAACACTTCAGTCACTAAATTACTCTGTCGATTCTCTACTGTCTAACAAAGTGTGGATTGCTTTAACAGTGGGTTTCTACATGTCAAATAAATACCCGGGAGGAGGTGGTCCAAGTGTCGCCTGCTTTCTATTTGGTCCAGGACATGCATGACTTATGGAATGGCTGAACATAATCAGCAGAATTAGTGGCAGTAAGACCGTCCTTAGCGCAAATGAAGTTTCTCCGACCAGATATTTCATCACATAAGCAGTTTCAACTGTCTCTCTGCTGGTAATCGACTCCACCTTCTAAGTATCTAAACCAGATGTAGATTAATAAGTCTTTTCCTTATTTGCTTAAAGAAGACCAGTGCAACGATCGAAATTTCCGGGTTTCCATTTCAGCCAGCCGAGTCGTACTCTGTTGCCTCGTAGTTGCGCCGCCACCAGTTAATGTTCTCAACTGTTAGGCAATGTAAAACAAAAAAACTCTATACTGGCTCAACTATGCAAGTTATGCGCTGCATGTTTGGTAAATCACTGCCCGAATACGACCCATGTCCAAGCTAAATGTGCAATCGGTAATCAAAATTAATGTACCCTGCGGTAAAATTGCAACATTTACAAAACGAGACGTAAAATGCATAGTCGTTTGGCCATAACGTATTGCGCATTGTTGATGAAAGTATTTTCTTGATTCCTACGATAAAACATACGATGATTTCCACTGAACAAATTTTGAAAAATGTTTTAACTCTCCCGTCGTAGTAATGTCAAAGAGGCAAACGTAAATATTTCGTATTTCATTTTAAATCTGCCAAGAGTAAATTATGCAAATGTTTTCTTTGAATGATTGCAGTTACATATCTGAATTTTTGTCAGAAAATGCTGCAATTTTCATATAGAACTACAATGCAAAGGTTATAACCGAGTGTAGCAGCTAAGGGCACAGCGATATCCAAAATGAAATCAAAAACGATAAAAACCGATGTCTGTTATATTTTGGCATAAAAAGCAGCTCAGCTGTTAGCATGATCGTGTCCCTTCCGTTTTTGTTCATGTGGTGTATGACGTTGCAACAATTACAGAAAACATATCGGCTCACGTCGCCACAAGATTAAAAGGAATGAAATGTGAAATACCAGGCAGTGCGTAGTAAATAATGTTTCCATAAAAAGAGAACGGAAGATGAAAAAATAAGACTGAAGGACGGTTGCATCGATGTATGGAACTGTATAAAAATTTAGTTAATGACCGAAGAACTGATTAAGAATATGGAGAAAATCCAACCAAGTAGCTAAACAATTTCAGAAAAAGCGCTGGCATGCAAAAAGACTTTGAATGATGGTATTATAAATGGGAAATTCAATAGTCTGATCTACAGACGAAGTCTTTCTGAAAACAAGTGGAATTATTAGGAATGAATATTTTGTAACATTTTCTTTCTTACTTGGCGATCGAGCATAACGTTTACTGTACTTTTTTAATGTGGCTGGTCTAACTGGTACGATGATCTAACAAAGCCTGAAAGCGCTGTCGTTTATAACACGAATTGGATATCGTCTGCTGATCCATGTGGATTGTGAATGTAACTTACAAAAATGTATTAACCTTTACGTTTCGCTTATGTCGGTTTTGTTTTACGTGTATTCCCTTTTCGGTGTATTTAACTATTGTTGAACAGGTTTCCGCACTCGAAGTTCCTCTGAGTGTTTCGTTAAAAAGATTCCCTCG